TGAGGGGAGGGGAGGGGTGGGGTGGGGGGGGGAGAGGAGGATGGAGAATGAAGAAATGGTAAAAAAAAAGTTGGCTTAGAGGGAGCATCTCTGTCCACATAATTACAGATGTTTATTTAGGATGTTTATTTGCCATCCTCCTGTTACTGCGACGTTCCGCCTCGCTTAACAAATTACAGTGACTCAGGGACGCAGATTTTCACTGATAATGGAAAATAAGTCCACTAAATGATGAAACTGAATGCAACTGTGTTCATAGGGGATTACCTTTTGAAATTCAGTTAGTTGGATTGATCGGTTAGATTATTGTATCAAGAAAAATAATTCCAGGTTAGTGTTTAAGAAAGACGATTGTAATTTTAATTTGAGTACTTCATTGCACTTTCCTTTTTCTTCACTTTCATTAAGGACCGTTCTTTTAACTGCTCCTGACGCGGTTCAAATGGTGCTTGTTTTTAATGAATTATCAAACAAAATCAATATCTCATATTTGGAGGTTGTATTCCAATGAATCTTTGCACCCGTACTATTGTAATAACTGCATTAAGGGAGTATGAAATTGCAATATTGGAACTACATTTGAGCACAAATATTAATTAAGGCATTTGACCAAACTAACTAATTTTGGGTAAAATGGGAGTTATGGGAGACAAACATCTTAAGTTTTGCTGGTAACTAATAAAAGCATTTTTTTATTCTAACCCAATGGAGACATTTACCGTGAATATCAAAGGGGATTAATAGACTTAATTTTAAATTTCCCTTGTTTTTATTTACATTACTAAAAGAACTTCTAAAAAGCATAGTTCAATCCAACGTTGAAACCTACAGTAGTAATAATTGTGGAATGTCATTTGACGTGCAATGACAAGTGACTCCACAAAGGTTTCACTTTAGGGTTGAAAAAGATTGTAAAATCCGTAGGAGAATATCAAGATGTTGGGAAAAGGGTGTCGAAATTCTAGTGAATAAGAGGAGAAGCGTTGGATAAACGTAAGAGTGCCCTGTGAAGAGCTTGAACAAGCCACCAGTTATCAAAATACACCATGCCACTGAACTAAGCAAGAAATGAACAATGAAAAGCCATTTAAAATGATCCGCTTTAGTGAACTCTGTTAAAACCTACTCGAATTGTATTTATCGGCGAAACTAATTGGGAAATTTGGGAGACAAAGTCAAGTTAATAATAGGTAATTAACTTGATTTCACAACTTTCAGCGCTCTGATGTGCCCTTTGACTTGAGAGTACTTTTAAAGAAATTTAGGTGTTGGTGATCCAATTAGTTGTAACATGAAATCATTTAGAATTTGGAAAAAGAATTAATCCACACATTGAACAATTTTGTAAACAAGTTCCAAGCCATTCGAAACTCAGAAAAAACTGAACTATTTAAAAGGGATTTCGTGAGTAGAATGTACAAACACAGAGCGAATAGTTATATATTTACTTTGCATAACTATTCGAAGAGTATAAGTTGTAATTATAACCCTCTTCATCCCTATCGGGACCACGGCAAGATCACATTGTATTTTGCGGCGTCGTTTTTGTGCACATAAATAATGCAATAGACTAAACTGGCGCAAACCATTAATCATTCACACAAACAAGTACGTTTACAGATGACTGCAAGTGTCTGGTATTGATGACCTCCATAAATAATGATGCTGATCAAATGCTCCATTTTTTTCGACCACGTTAACCCCCCGCCTTATATTTTACACACCAGGTACGCAGGTACCATTTTAACGTACAAACTAATAATAAATTATGATTTGTGTAGAATATATCAGTCCAAAATGAGGGAAAGTTTCTGTGACCAACTTAATTATCTTAAATCACTTTATCCAGCTTTTTTTCGTAACAACAATTAGAAGTCCCAGAGGCATAAAAGTGATTCTGATCATAGCAAATTTATATGATTTGTTCCAAACAATATAAATGCCTGGTTCTATCGTTTTTTGTGTTAGTTCATTTTGCCGATTTAAAATATTGCAAGCGAGACCTCAACGTAAAAGAACACCCAAGATCATCTCATTTTGTTTGGCGACGATCAGAACGACCAACCGCATTGATATTACTCATTTCATCAATTCTAGGCTATTCTCTATCTCATACCAAAATATTAAAGTTAATTAACAAAAGCATGACGTCATCAGCGATTGCACACGCTCAAAGTTAAGCTCAAGAAATACCGACAACTTGACAAAACTACAATAATAGGTAAATAAGGCAACAACTACTCAGATAACTAACTTCAAAAAGTGGTAGTTCTTCTCCTCTGACTACAAATGTCGATTCTTCTTTTTCAACTGTCCAGAATATCGCATTCAGAATATTTTCCAGCAAATGTTGGCGTAAATCATTTTGACACTTTGTGCGAACCAACTCATTTAACAGAAGACAAATCTCACGCCGCATGAATAATTCAATCGACTCACCGAGTCACCACAGAATTAACTCAAAGCCACATTCGGCGGCCGGCGCATACAGCTAAACACTGTCGAGTGTCTCATGCCACACTTTTACTGTGGGAATTCTTCCCCCCCCCCCTCCATCGCCACTGCTCATATTTTTTTCTGCTTCTGGAAGGCGCGAAAAACGTCCCTCCAGGATGCTATAGTCACACTGCAACGCACTACATTACACCATTTTGTGTTCCAATCGTCCTTACCATTCCAATGAGTCAATGCGTAAATACTTACCAATGTGACTCACGTACTTAAAGATTTTCTTGAGGCCAATTTATGAAATTTCTAAACCAGTTAAGGTTATAAACCATCTTTTATGTCTATGTATGAAATGGCGTAACTCAAGAATCGAACTTTTTGGTTCCCAAATCCAGTGCTTGTTTAAGAGATTAAATGGAAACTGATATAATAGGAAGAACGGACATACCCCATCCAGTAAATAATCGATAAACTGTGGGCACAACCGTGAACAGACCAAATGTCAATACCGGAATTCGAAAAGCACACAATTCAACAATAAAGAAGCCTAGTGCGAAAGTATTATTTGAATTGAAATCTAATATGCACCACTCATCGACTCCCATCAATAGTGGACATCAATTTCAGAAATTTATTTCTTACCCAAAAAAATAATTCAAAATGTTATTATATAACTTCTTCGGTCACCACCAAAGTCTCTTTTATTTGATCATATTAATGGCACTGCACCAACTGCGAAGAGAAAAATTTAATTTCCTACGTCATTAGACGGAGTAGTAGTTAAGTTTTACCGAAAACTCAGTGAGAACTATTTCGGAAGTTTTAGTTTGCGTCTGACTAGGCGTTTTACTGGCACAAAACAAACGTTTCGCCAAAAAAAAGTTGAAGAAAGTTAAACGCGGCTTTTTCGCTCCACTGCATAATAGGTTTCGCGTCTGGAAAATAAATTTCATTGGCAGACTCACAAAGTCATTGGTATGAGAGTGTTAATGTCTTCATTATACCAGTGCATGAAAATAGCCACATTTCCCATTTCACTGCAAAATGAAAATGCCCCAAACATATCCTTTGGACATGTGCTCTTTCTAGGGCATTTTTCGACCGCAGGAGGACATACTAAGAGATGAAGAAGAAATAAAAGGACGTGGAAGTAATTGAGATGAAAGCTCTCGACAGCTTTATCTTCAAATTCTTTGTGGAAATTGTGAAATATAACAACACTGAATACTAGTGTGAGGTTGAGTTCACTTTTGTGAAGATGTAGGCATTCCAGATTCGAAGTTTTATAAAGATGGATTGCTGAAATAAAGATGCATGTAACTATTGATATTACTGCTCAGCTCAATTGGTTAATTACAAACTTATTGTGAGTTCAAAACTCACTTGTGTTTGCTTTGCTTTGACCCTATTTTCTGCCAACACAGTGTTTCAAACAGGAGACTTAATCGATCCGTAAGCTATTAACACATTTTTTCTTTTCAATTGATCAAACTTCTGCTAACCGAATTAAAATTTTTAGGCTATTTATAACGTGTCAGTTATAGATGTGGTGAAACTCAATTAAATTTTCTACTGACATTTGCATCTTTAATTAAATTTAAAATCTTGTAAAGGAAATAACCAAGCCTTTTGTTTAACATGTACATATACTACCCTCAATCATTTTTGCAAACAGACTGTAACTTAATTAACTTATTTTGTCACAACCAATACTACTTTTAATTAAGAAACTGAACTCATCGTTGGTAAGCTCTATAAATATTTCACGAGTTGACTAGTTACTTCAATGATTAAATTCCGAGTTTGTTAGTCACTCGCATTGTTCATAAAGTTAGTAAAGTACAGCCTAATCCGCTCCCCAGGGGCATAAATTGGAAAATATCTTTTTTCATTACATTT